GTATGTCAGCTTTGTTCCACAAACATAAAAAGAAATCTTTGGAAAGGCGAAGTATCACCTCAATTGGAAACGAAACATATCCAGAAGACTCGAGTGGAATAGGCGTCGATTGATCTCCTATTTAATTAATAACAACAAATATATCTGCGATTAATACGTCTACGTTGTTCCACAAACACACTTACAGGCAAAAAATTCCACCCACTTGATTTTTTAACGTTTTCATCTAAAAATATTTCTGATTTGGATTGGTCTATTGTTTTTAATGAATAAATAGGTAATTTTTTTGTTTGTTTTCAATTAGGACTGTTAATATAGAGGACAATAACCCTTAATCCTTAATTCAATAAAATGATTCTAGATTTCAATTTTTACTTTCTATGGAATCAAAATGTTTATTCAGTATCATTAGTTCAGTGCCGTTTCTTGCAGTACATTTCTTAGTCTCCGACTTTTAATTTTTTCAATATTAAGTTTTAAAATGCCTCTTAGTGCTGAGAATGTTGAACGTAGTGTGGCACTATTGATGACGGTCGTTCCATTAGATATGCAGCTAATGCCATCGGAGTTTCATATGGAACTTTACGAGACGCAGTGAGGCGTTTTCGGGAAACTGGTTCTTACAATAGAAGGCCCGGTTCTGGACAGCCTAGGGAAACAGAACCACGGGCTGACCGGTTTTTGACTTTGAGAATTTTATGAAACCGGCACCTTACCGTTGTTCAAGAGATTCATCAGCTCGAAGAAGTTATGGTGTGCAAATTTCTGAACGTACCGCTCGGAGAAGATTAAATGAGTATGGATTAATGGCTTTTCGTTCATTAGGAGGACCAGAGTTAACCAGAACTCACAGAGTAACACGGCTGGCTTTTGCTAGAGAACACAGCCATTAGACTATGGACGAATGGAGTGCTGTACTTTTTACAGATGAGTCAAGATTCGCTCTTCGATCTCCAGACGGGCGTGAAAGGGTGTGGAGAAGAAGAAACGAAAGATGTGCAGCCTGTAATTTTTCCCAGAGCCAATCTTTCCAACTAGGTTCCTTAATGAAGTGGGCTGGGATTTCAATGGAGCGCCGCACAGAATTGGTTGTTGTTCGTGGAGGGTCTTTGACGGCAATTCGTTATGTAGATGAGATTTTGGAACCTCATGTGTTGCCTATCCTCAACGAAATCGGCGATCGTTCTACTCTAATGCACGATAATGCACGCCCACATGTCGCCCGCATAGTTCAGACGTTCCATGAACAGAACAATATTGAGGTTTTAGCCTGGCCAGCACGTTCTCCAGATTTGAACCCCATTTAGCATTTATGGGGTAATCTCGGAAGACGAATAAGAGCGCGTGCAACACTTTCTGATACACTGCAGGACCTTGAAAGGGCTCTTCGGGAGAAATGGGCTATCATCCAGCAAAGGAACATTTCCCGACTGGTGGAAAGTATGCCGAGGCCTCTTCAAGAAGTAGTGAAGGCAAGAGAAGAAAACACGTGCTACTAAACGATGATGTAATTAATTTCTTTTAGAATAATAATGGTTTGTTTTCCGCTATCAATAAGTCAGCGTTGTTCCACCAACATAGAATGAAATGTTTGGAATAGCAAAAAGTGACAGCACATGGGCAGGAAACAAATCTCGATGTCTAGAATGGAGCAGGCTGCGATTGATTATCGGACAATACAAATTAACATAAGGTATAGGAGATCAGTATGAAAACGATGTTCCACCAACATGGTATGAAATCTATGGAATAGCTATGTATTACCTGAAAACCATCCTGAAAACTAGAGTGGAGCAGGCTGCGATTAATCTCCTACTTAATCGATAACAACAAATATCTACTTGATGAATAAGTCAGCTTTGATCCACCAACATAGAATGGAATGTTTGGTATAGCACAAAATCACAGCAAATAGAAAGTAAAAACCTCCTGATCACTAGAGTTGAGCAGGCTGCGATTGATCATCTGGTGATCCAAATTATCGGAAGACATAGGAGATCAATATGACAGCTTTGTTCCACCAACACAGAAACGAATCTTTGAAAGTGCAAAGTATTACCTCAATTCCTAAAGAGACACGTCCAGAAGATTCGAGTGGAGAAGGCTGCGATTGATCTCCTATTTAATTAATAACAGCAAACATATCCGATATCAATTAGTCAGCGTTGTTCCACAATTATAGAATGAAAAGTTTGGAATAGCAAAAAGTGACAGCACATGGAAATAAAAGACATCCTGATGAGTAGAGTGGAGCAGGCTGCGATTGATTCTACAATTCATTATAATAATAATAAAAGGTTTAGCGGTTCGATGCCGGCACCACCAATCGCATAATACACATCTCCCTCCACCGTTCGCAGTCCAAACCCAGTCCCTTCAGATCGGATTTAATGCAATCTTCAAACCTTTGCTTCGGTCTACCCCTCGGACGCTTACCATTCGGCACAGCAAATATTAACTTTTTAGGAATTCTCTCGATAATAAGCCCAACAACTTTACAAGCCCATTTGATTCGGCGCGATGAAATTACCTCAATTATATTACCCGGATACAGTTCACGAAATTCGGCGTTGTGTAACCTTCTGAACTCTTCGGTTAACTCATCCTTCTTCTGTCCGAATATTCTACGCAATACTTTGTTTTCAAAAACCTTAAGACGCTGCTCATCCCTTAATGTACGCGGCCAAGTTTCGCATCCATAAAGAACTGTAGGCAAGATAGTTGTTTTATAGATTCTAATTTTTAAGTTGCGGGACAAGAGGCGGGAACTAAGTAGTTTTGTCATAGAAAAATAACAAGCATTTCCCACCTTCAGCCTAACCCTAACCTCTTCTTCAAATTCGTTTTTTCTAGTTATCGTAGAACCTAGATACCTAAATTTCTCTACCTGTTCAAACATATTACCATCTACATCGATATCGCCAGTAGTATCGCCATTTTTGCAGCTAACCTTATATTTTTTTTTATCCACGTTTATTTCGAGTCCTAGTTCTTTACCGGCTTTCATTAACGTTGTTGTATTTAGTTTTATAGTTTCAACGTCTTCGCTTAACAGTACCAGATCATCCGCATAGGCAAGCACGGATGTTGTCCCACCCAGATTCAACCATTTTTCGGTGCTCATTACCTTCCTAATGGCATGTTCTAATGCTAAATTAAACAGGACAGGCGAAAGGGAATCATCCTGTTTTAAACCCGAACGGACCTCAAATTTTTCTGACAAATTATTACCGATTCTAACTTTATTGAGTGTCTCCGTCAAGCACCTCCTGACTAGATTTACTAGTTTTTTTTTGGAATCCCCTGCTCGAGTAGAATATTATACAGTTTCTGGCGGTCAATAGAATCGTAAGCCTTTTTAAAATATATACACAGCTGGTGAACAATACAGTTATACTCCAAATTTTTATATTTGCCGTAAAGAAAATATTTGATCAATAGTCGAACGATTCCGTCTAAATCCGCATTGGTAGTCTCTGATAATTTCCTCGGCGTATTCCCTGATTCGACTGGTTAAGATTAAAGTGAATATTTTATAACACACCGGAATGAGTGAAATTCCTCGATAGTTATTACAATCCGTCCTCGGACCCTTTTTGTGAATCGGAATAAGAATAGATTCTTTCCATTCATCAGGTAATTTCTCATTCACCCAGATCTTTTTAACCAACCGATGTATTTTAGAAACTCCAGCTTCCCCGCATGCCTTAATTAGTTCAGTAGGAATATTATCGGTTCCCGCTGCTTTATAAGATTTTAATATTCCGATAGCTACTTCAACTTCCTCTTTACTTGGTCCCTCTATTAAGGGTTCAGCGCTCTGGTACTCAGAAGGAGGACACAGATCATAATTTCCCGTATTTAAAATATTGTCAAAGTGGTCCTTAAACTTATTCAATATGTCAACCGGATCGGTAAGAATATTGTTCTTATCATCCCTAATTCCAGACGTTGCCGGCCCTACTCATTTACGTGGTATTTTTATACCTTTATACATGTCTCTTACGTTATTTTCGATTCTATTAGTTTCTATTTCAATTATTTTATTTTTAAGACACTCCGTTTTTTTATTTTTGAGCAATTTTGTCGTTTCGTTCTTTGAGGTTCGGAAGTGTTCCAGATTGTCTTCGCTAGGATTATTTAGAGCTTTTAATTTAGCGGCTATTCTTTTTTCGCACATGTTTAAGCAATCTTCATCAAACCACGGTTTGTTATTCTTATTTTTCTTTCTTCCTAGACACGAGTTACGGACCGTTAATATTATCCCTGATCTCTACCCATAACTTGTCAATATCCCCATGGCCCTCGTCAGGAAGCTCTAAAGCTTCAAACCTATTCTTAACATCTAGCTCGAATTTGTTTCTAATTGATGGATTTTTTAATTTTTCAAAATTAAAATTCTCAAAATCGAAACGGTTTTCTTTTTTCCTTTTTATATTAAGTTTTTGTCGAAGTTTCGCGATTACTAATTCATGATCCGACCCACATTCTACTCCACGATAATACCGTACATTAATTTTACTGCTTTGCCAGCTTTGTTGTATCAATACATGATCGATTTGATTTCGTGTTTGCGAACCGGTGATGTCCAAGTATATTTATGAATATCCTTATGTTTAAATGTCGTACTTTTAATTATCAGGTTTTTCGAGATTGCAAAGTTTATCAGACGGATCTCATTATCATTACTATATGCGTGCAAACTTTCTTTACCAATCGTTGTAATATAAATTTCTTCCCTTCCTACCTTTGCGTTCGCGTCACCTAGAATTATTTTCATGTAGTTTCGCGGTAGTTTATCATAAATCCATCCGATTCAATCGTAAAATTCACTTTTGATTTCATCGTCACTGTCTTCGGCCGAACAATGTATGTTTATTCATGCGATTTTAAACCAACGTCCCTGAAATTAAAAGCAAACGCATCTTGGTGACTATTGTGGAACATGCTGCAATTGATCATTTATCGTTCTAAATTAACGGAAGATATAGGAGATCAGTATGACAGCGTTGTTCCACCAACAAGGAATAGAATTCATGAAATGGCAAAATATCACATTAATTGAAAAAGAAAATATCCTGATGACTAGAGTGTAGCAGGCTGCGACTGATCTCCTACTTATATAACAACAATAAACATTACCGCGATCAATAAGTCAGCGTTGTTCTACCAACATAGATCGGAATAATATGAATAGCAAAAAAGCATATCAAATTAAAAGAAGACGCATCTTGGTGACTAGTGTGGAACATGCTGCGATTGATCATTTGGCGTTCTAAATTAACGGAAGATATAGGAGATCAGTATGACAGCGTTGTTCCACCAACAAGGAATAGAATCAATGAAATGGCAAAGTGCCACCTTAACTGAAAAAGATAATATCCTAATGACTAAAATGGAGCAGACTGCAACTGATCTCCTACTTATATAATAACAACAAACATGTCCGCGATCAATAAGTCAGCGTTGTTCCACAAAAATAGAATGAAATCATTGGAATAGCATAAAACGACAGAAAAAAAAAAGTAAAAACCTGCTGTTCACTAGAGTGGGGCAGGCTACAATTGATCATTTGGCGTTCTAAATTAACGGAAGATATAGGAGATCAGTATGACAGCTTTGTTCCATCAACAAGGAATAGAATCAATGAAATGGCAAAGTGTTACCTTAATTGAAAAAGAAAATATCCTGATGACTAAAGTGGAACAGGCTGCGACTGATCTCCTACTTATATAATAACAACAAACATGTCCGCGATCAATAAGTCAGAGTTGTTCCACCAACATAGATCGGAATATTATGAATAGCAAAATAGCATAGCAAATGAAAAGCAAACGCATCTTGGTGACTAGGGTGGAGAAGGCTGCGATTGATCATTTGGCGTCTAAATTAACGGAAATCTTCACAAACAGAGATCACGCAACGTAGCGACGAAAACCCTTGGACCTGCTCAAAAAAGTTGCCCTGAGCCACCTGAATTTGAAAATCAGGAAACATTCCCAGCTTTGCCGACTTCACCTTCCATCGCCGTCCAACAACAACCATCCATCTCTACACTTAAGGATTATCCTCAACAGAGTTCAAGAAATTCTCAATGGCAGCCTTGCATCACTAAGAAGCAGCCTCAAAGTCAGGCGCATCAAACCTCCCAATCCAAGCCCAAAAGCTCTAATACTCAACCTCAACAGCCTCGTCAGCCAATCCATCCCCATCAGCTACCCTTAAGGGTCAAACTCCCGCCAGAGCATCCACACCCAGCTCCACACGTTCCTACTCCCAAGATGAACCTCCCATCACAAGTCCAACAGAATTTAGATCCTACTCCTCGTACCCCACGTCGGACCCACCCTCCACCCAGCAATCCTATTCGCATAGATTACTCATCACAACCTCACGACCTAAATCCACTTCCCAGCCAAACATCATCCGACATCAACTCTATCCTATGATCATTCCTGATAGATCTTCAACAGACTATCAAACCGCTTATAACTCTTCTCACAAGGCTCCTTTCCGAAATCCCGTTTAACTTCCGATGAATACAGGGCCCCTTGCTATCCTCTTATGGAACGCTAACGGACTACAAAACCACCGTGACGAACTAGACATATTTCTCCATGACAATTATATTGACATTGCTCTCCTGACAGAAACTCATTTCATTCAACGGACACAATTCTACATACGTGACTACATCACTTATAGATCTGACCATCCAGACAACACTTCCCACGCTGGCTCTTGCATCCTTATACATAAATCTCTATCACATTCCCTTATCCCTTCTACTCCAACTGATGCCATTCAATCAACTTCTGTAATCCTTTCAACTCGTCCTTTCCATCTAACACTTTCAGTTGTATACTGTCCTCCTGGTAATTCCCTCTCTTATAGCCTACTTGATTGCTTATTTCAATCCCTCGGAGCGCGCTTTATTGCTGGAGGAGACTACAATGCTAAACACCAACGATGGGGTTGTCGAACATCCAACTCCCTCGGTAGCATCCTATCACGTGTCTCTTCTTCCAACAGTTATTCAATCCTCTCACCCATAAATCCTACATATTGGCCTACATCTCTGAAAAAACGTCCCGATATCCTGGATATATTTATCACCTCCCAGATTTCCGCCTCCCAATCCATTATCAAATCCCTGGATGAACTTTCGTCAGATCATAGTCCAGTTTTGCTTTTACTACATTCGAACTTTGCTCCTAGACCTACACCTCCAAAACTAATTACAGGACGAGTGAACTGGGACAAATTTCGTCATGATCTGGAAGATAAACTGGACTTAAAAATTCCCCTTAAGACAAAACAACATATTGATAATGCCATAGAAAACCTTAATACAACTATAACAACGAGTATAAATAATAACACATTTGTTAATAATAAAAGCAATAATTTAAGACATATTAACTTGCCACAGCATATTCGAATCTTATTAAGGGATAAACGCAGAGCAAGATCGAAGCGGCACAGGACTAGATATCCTTCAGACAAAACGTACTATACCGAATTGACTAACAAACTAAAATCAGAGATCAGAAAATATAAAACTCAACAATTACTGAACCTAACTGAAAATATTACAACAACTGACAAATCACTATGGACTACAACCAAAAAACTTCTGAAGTTTAAAGATTTTAATCACCCACTTCTTACTGAATTCCAAACCTGGTCCAAATCCGACGAAGAAAAAGCCCAGTTATTCGGTCAACATCTGTTCCAAATTTTCAACCCACATCCTGATATCCTTAATCCAACCCACATCGAATGTATTGAATCAGAACTGGATACTCCTCTCCAAATGTCCCTTCCGCCTAAAGCATTTCATCCCACAGAAATATCCAACATCATTAAAAGATTACCCTCCTATAAAGCTCCTGGACATGACCTAATAACATCCCAGATCTTGAAACTTCTTCCTCGAAAAGCCATCCTATTCCTTACTTTCATATATAATGCTGTACTCCGATCAACATATTTCCCTGATCCTTGGAAGATATATATTGTCAAAATGATCCACAAACCCAAAAAGCCACCAGAATATCCATCCTCTTACCGTCCCATCTCTCTGTTACCCATCATGGGAAAAATCCTGGAAAAACTAATCTTAAAACGCCTGTACCCAATCCTAGATTCTAATCACATAATCCCAGATCACCAATTTGGATTCCGCTCCTCCCATTCCACTATACAGCAATGCCATCGTGTGGTAGACGTAGTATCCTCTGCATTGGAGCGCGGTATGTACTGTACGGGAGCCTTTCTCGATGTTGAACAGGCGTTTGATAGAGTTTGGCACCCGGGACTGCTGTGCAAACTCCGAAAATTCCTACCATCTACCTACTTCCTCATTATCCGTTCCTACCTTAATGATAGATACTTTAAAGTAAATCACAACAATGTATATACATCCGGTTTTTCCCAGTCTGCAGGTGTTCCTCAAGATAGTGTCCTAGGTCCTATCCTTTACACAGTTTATACAGCTGACATCCCAACCCATCCCAACACTGTCATCACCACATATGCTGATGACACATGTATCCTATCAGTCAATAACGACCCATCTATTGCATCCCAAACCCTTCAATCCCACATCACAAACCTTGAAGAATGGTGTCAGAACTGGAGAATTAAAATAAATTCCCATAAATCCCATCAAATTACCTTCACCCTTCGTCGTAAACCAATGACTTCCTGTCCTTCAGTATCCTTTAATAACACCTCACTTATTCCTGTTGAACAAATCCGTTACCTAGGACTCCATCTGGACAAACGTCTAACTTGGAATCCTCATACCAGACTGAAACGACAAGAAACCGCTCGACGTTTCCGACTACTTCAACACTTACTAGACAAACGCTCTAACCTTCCAATTAATTATAAAAGACTGATTTACATGACTATAATAAGGCCTATTTGGACTTACGAGGTTGAGCTATGGGGCTCCACCAAGCCTTCAAATTCCTCTCGCATATAGTCCTTGCAAACCAAAATCCTTCGTAAAATCCTCAATGCTCCTTACTTTGTTACAAATAAAATTATCCATAATGACCTTAATGTTCCTTATGTATCAGATTTGGCCCAATCCAGATATCTGTCCTTCCATAATAAACTTCATAACCATCCCAACCCTCTTGTCTCTAACCTAGCTTCCTATTCAATCCCTGATGCCCCCTTGATCTTCTAATATAGACATATTATTAGAGTGCTACCAATGGGTAGTTTCTCAACATGTGTTCCATGTCTTTATACCAATGTGCAAATTTACTAGATGTATTTTTTTGTATACAGTTGTAAATATCATTTAAAATAAATAAATAAAAAAAAAATTAACCCAAGATATAGGAGATCAGTATGACAGCGTTGTTCCACCAACAAGAAATAGAATCAATAAAATGGCAAAGTGTCACCTTAATTGAAAAAGAGAATATCCTGATGACTAGAATTAAGCAGACTGCAACTGATCTCCTACTTATATAATACTAACAAACATGTCCGCCATCAATAAGTCAGCGTTGTTCCAAAAAATAGAACGAAATCATTGGTATAGCATAAAATCTCAGCACACAAAAAGTAAAAACCCCTTGATCACTAGTGTGGAGCAGGCTGTGAATGATCATTTTTCTTTCTAAATCAACGGAAGATATAGGAGATCAGTATGAGAGCGTTGTTCCACCAACAAGGAATAAAATCGATGAAATGGCATAATATGACCTTAAATGAAAACGAAAATATCCTGATGAATAGAGTGGAACAGGCTGCGACTGATCTCCTACTTATATAATAACAACTAACATGTCCGCGATCAATAAGTCAGCGTTGTTCCACAAAAATAGAATGAAATCATTAGTATAGCATAAAATTTCAGCACAAAAAAGTAAAGATCTCTTGATCACTAGTGTGGAGCAGGCTGCGATTGATCATTTGGCGTTCTAAATCAAAGGAAGATATAGGAGATCAGCATGACAGCGTTGTTCCACCAACAAGGAATAAAATCGATGGAATGGCATAATATGACCTTAATTGAAAAAGAAAATATCCTGATGACTAGAGTTGAGCAGGCTGCGATTGATCTCCTATTAAATTAATTACGGCAAAACAATGTAAGCGATCAATTTGTCAGCGTTGTTCCACAAAAATAAAAGGAAATCATTGGTATAGCATTACATTTCATCAAATGAAAATTAAAAACCTCCTAATCACTGGAGTGGAGCAGGCTGCGATTGATCATTTGGCGTTCTAGATGAACGGAAGATATAGGAGATCAGTATGACAGCGTTGTTCCACCAAGAAGGAATAGAATCAATGAAATGGCAAAGTATCACCTTAATTAAAAAAGAAAATATCCTGATGACTAGAGTGGAGCAGGCTGCGATTGATCTCCTACTTAATTAATTACAGCAGAACATTGTAAGCGATCAATAAGTCAGCGTTGTTCCAAAAAATAGAACGAAATCATTGGTATAGCATAAAATCTCAGCACACAAAAAGTAAAAACCTCTTGATCACTAGTGTGGAGCAGGATGTGATTATCATTTTCATAAAAAGCGCCCCCCCAAAACCTATAAGTCGACCCTGATATCGATTTAATCAAAAAAGTTTTAAAAAAACGGGGGCGGGGGGGCCCAATCTCAAATTGGTTATCATTTTCATAAAAAGCGCCCCCCGAAACCTATAAGTCGACCCTGATATCGATTTAATCCCAAAAGTTAAAAAAAAACGGGGGCGGGGGCCCTAATCTCAAATTGG